AGTCCAAGGACAAGAGTCCTGACTCCTGCCCTCTGAAGATGCCGGCCACAGAGAGACTGGCGAAACCTTAGGAAGAACAACTGTCAGAACACGGCCAAAGAGCCCGAAAAACCCACAACAACCATCAGATCCCGGCCGTGAAAGCTTTCAAGAATACAGTACACGTGTTCTTGTGTTTTCTCAAGTCTGATTGCTTCTGCCCAGCGGAAGAAGGCCAGGCGGCCGGGACTGCAATGAGTTTCATTTGCTGGGATGCAAAAATGATGGGTTTGTTCTAGATCAGGGGTCTCAAACATGCGGCCCGGGGGCCATTTGTGGCCCACCGGATGATAGTTTGTGGCCCCCGCCTTGCCCGGCCCCCCTGAAGCGTCCACGCGTCCTCTCTTGTCAAGAGTCAAAAAAAGCCTTGCCTCGCTTGCTGGCTCTCTCCCAATACAACGCCTCTTGCACCCTCCATCCGGAACTGCAGCCCTGCCAGCCAGCCCGCTTGTCGTGGTGGGGGTCACTGGTGCTCCCTCCCTTCTATGCTTCTTCATCCTGCTGGTGATGGTAGTAGTGAAGAAGGAGCTGGAGGGGGTCGTGGCCGGCGACGAGGGCTCGCGCACCCCTCCTCCTCCTCCTCGGAGCCCCAGCCCGGCTAAGGAAACTCTTGGGCATCCTCCTTAGGCTCTTGCTCTGCTTGGTGGAAAATCCGATGCGGCCCTGCCTCACCCAGACTTTGCCTCCAGCGGCCCCCAGGTAAATTGAGTTTGAGATGCCTGTTCTAGATGAACCCAAGTCCCGTTGACTCCTCTCCGGAAGATTGCACTCTCTCCCTCCCCCCATTGAAGACCTGATTCAAGGACGTAAGTTGTGTCACGAAAAGAGGACCAGAAGGTTGTGTCCATCAAAACGTGGGGAGAACCCCCCAATGAAAGTGTTAGCATGATGAAGTGCTTCAGAACTGCAATTCAGACTTGGGTTCGAATGCTGCTAATCAAACTCACTGAACCGTTTGGGCTAAACTCTTAACCTCCACCTCTTTTGTTTACATTTATTTAAAATATTTTTGCACCCCTTTCCTCCTTAAAAGGACCCAAGGTGGCCTGCCACACAGGGCTGTCGTGAGGAAAAGAGAGCCACGTATGGTATTTCAACGCTCGTTGATGCGAACACAGGCGATGTAAATAAAAATGAGGATGATACCTGATGCAATACTAATTACTCCCACATAGGTAAACTGAAGAGTCTGGAATAGCTCTTACGTTTCAAGTGAGAAAGTACATGGATCGAATAAAAGATATTGGACATTTAAAAATGTCTACGTGGGGAGGAACTTTTGGAGGAAGAGGGATGAGCAACCTGTGGCCTTCTGAAGTTGTTCAACGCTAACTCCCATTATCCCTAGCTAACTCAGCGAAACGAGCGAAGGGAGGGTTTGTAGTCCCACGGCCGCTGAAAAGCTGCGCACAAATCCGAGATGAGAGGACCGGGTTACGGTTAAAACCATGTTTGTAAGGATGTCCTGATACAGGGCTGGCGGGATGGGGAATCGGGCAGAGAAAAGATTTAAGAGGTGAGGGTGCGGGAAGCCGAGGTTGGGGGGAGAGAATGGAGTGCTTTCTTGCAGCTGCAGCTTTCGAGAGCAGGCGTAGGAGGGCCCCCCCACAAAGCCTTGACAGCTCCAGCCGTCAGCCTGTCTCCTCCGTTGACAAGAGGAAGCACAGCCTGCATCTCAAACAGGCTCCCTCTGCTATCTTTTTTCACGCGGCCGAGGCCCATCGGCGGGGTGCCTTTTCCGTCTCTTCCCGGTGTGGATCGGGACGTCTCCTTTCTCTCCAGAGCAGCTTCTTCCCTCCCTCGCAGGGCTGTCGTGTGAAGATCACCCTTCAGCTTCCAGGAGGGAGAGAGGGACCCAAACAACGGTGATCAAAGAAAGAGGCCCAAAAAGTAGAGGGTTTGAAACCTGTTCAGAGACGAAGGGGGGGGAAACAGATGAGGCAGGGCGGGTGGGCAGCTGTGGCACCCTGGTTCGGTGGCGGCAACCACCACTACCTTCATCCTGAGGATGACTAGAATCCGAGAGTAATTGAGTTGGAAGGGGCCTCTAAGTCCATCGAGTTCCTCAAGGCAGGAATCCAAGTCAAAGCATATTGGACAGAGGGCCTCTAAGTCCATCGAGTTCCTCAAGGCGTATCGGACAGAGGGCTGTCCAATTTTACCTTGAAGGCCTCCACCTCCTGAGGTCATGGGTTCCATTGTCGTACTGCTCTAACAGTCAGAAAGTTTTTCCTAGGGCTTTGGAGAACTGTAGACAACAACAACAACCCGCACCCTTACTGAGGATCACAGTTGCCTGCTTCTGGGATAAAGGAACAGGGAGAGAGCACTTCTGAGGAGATGTATTAAGACTTTCCTCTTTTGTTAGGGAGGAATCATAAGTCTTTGCAACCAAATACCTACCTAGGTGTAGAGAGCTCCTCGTTTTGATTCAAAGTGCATGTAGATGGACTTCCACCTGTGCATTCGCACTATGCATTTCAGCTGTACCAAGTCTAGGGGTGTGGAAATAAATATACACAGCTCACTTTGGGCATATATTTGCCTGCCCTCCCTCCCTCCTCTCCTCCCTTCTCTTCCTCTCTTATCCCATCCGTTAACATTCCTTCTCTTCCTCATGGCCGTCTGCTGCAAACATGGCACGCCATTGGGAACAGCCCCTTAACGAAAAAAGCAGGATAAAGGCAGGTGTAGTGTAATAGAAAAATGGCTTTAATTGAAAAGAAGCACACAGCATGATTTACGGACTTTGCCTCCGATTTTCTGGGTTTGGGGAAAGGCAAGTCCAGAAGGCTACGTCCTCAAAATCCCTGACGTATTTGGAATCTGAAGGCAATTGTTTGGAAAAAATTAAGAATCCTGCCCCTTTAAGGTCTTCAACGCAGAGGAGGTGAATCTGGTTCATCCTTAAAGGTGCTGGTCCACCAGCAGTCGCAGCCTTTAAAGCAGAAAGGGTGGCAGGCAGATGGAGGTCCTGAGCCTTCAACATCCGTGCCTTTAAGAGGTCCCTTAAAGGGGAGGTTATTTACTGCTGGCAGGTGGAGATTTCTGAAGCCAGACAATACATCTGAATTAAAAGTGTGCTCTTCCATGGCTTTGCAAGCTTTCAAAACATGATGTGCTAGGTGTGAAAAAATTAGGAACAACAACCACCAATCCCTCGTCCTGTGAATAAATAATCTAAGACAAAAATAGGGTAATGTTTCATATCCTGGTCTGTGCCTTTAAGCCGATGATTCTGTTTAAGGAGAAGTGTGCATGTTTTCAGCATCTAAAAGGGCAATTCCCCTCTGCTGAAGTCTGGTTTAAAAGAACAAAGATTAGCATTGACACGAAGCATAATTAGGCAAGTGAAATAGCTTCCCAGCTGTTTAAAACAGGCATGTAGATCAGTGCCCTAAATGCTCTTTAAAAAGTGATGTACTTAAAACTAGAAAAGGTAACAGCTTCCATTATGCAGAAGTATGAGACAATAAATTCTTTCCCTCAATGGGCAGGTTAACAGCTTTTTAAAGAGGGCAGGTGTTTATGCCAGTGCAAAAGCATTCCTGTTTTCCCCTTGGATCCTGTAGAGAGACTCATTCCAGGGTCAGTTCAGGGCGGCGATTCCCCCTAAAGATGAGGTGCTCAGAGAGGGAGGGAATAAGTTCTTGTTAGCCCACAGATTTTAGATCCTCTTCAGGTTCTTTCATGTGAACGTAGAGGTCAAACTAGCATCTGACGGAGGAAAAGAGCACAACACACAAGCTGTGTGCGAAAGTGTCGACCATTTGTTCATAACAAGGACAGTAGACAAACACATTATCCAAGCTTTTGTGCCTTGGGGAGGGAAAACAATCCCCTTGAAGAAAAAGGTGGGCACCTGGGTATGACAGAAAAGAAACACAAGGGGACAACTGAAGTCCGGAGGCTCTTGGCAGGAGCAGATTTTTGTACCTGCCTGGCCTCTTCAGAAGCATCTTCAGAAAGGTGAAATTCAAAATTATCGTCGATAATAAAACACCTCACAACGGTGCCAAAAGAAAACAAGTGAGAGGCAAATGAGCTTTGAAGAGCGAGTCGTTCCTTCCAGAGTGTATAAAGCTTTCCATTCAGGAATGTCCTAACCATCAAACTGGATTGTTTTGTTTTGTTTTTTTGGTTCCCCAAATGGCCGCTTCCAGCATCCAAAGAGCAGGAAAACAAAGACCATCAAGCTTCTCAGGGGATGCTCTCAAACGGAGTGGCCTAGGAGAGCCTTCTCCCTGGGTTATTACTGCCTCCCTCCTGACCCCAGTCTGATCTCTGGGTTAGAAAAGGGGGGAAAACTGGATCTATTCCCGACTCCTCAGGCGTTGAGGCTCATAGCACGGAAAGGTCGTTGCAAGATTTCGACCTCTGCTTGAAGAAACGTCCGTTGCGGGGCACGAGGCTGGAGAGGAAACGCTTGGCCTTTTTCGTAAGGCTCTCCCGGCGGCCCCCGGCCCCCTCCTGGTTCTGGCCGCCCCCCTCGCGCCGGTGGTGGCGCAGCCGGATCTGGCGCACCACCCCTTCGAAGAGCTCCTCGGTGTTGTGATGTAGGGCCGCGGAGGTCTCGATGTGCTTGCAGTTCATCATGACCGCCAGACTCCGGCCCTCTGGTCAAGAGAGAGAGAGAGAAAAGAAAACGGATTAAACCCCAATGTTGTTTCTCCCACTTCTAACCCCTGCTCTGAGGAAAAGGAACATCTTCCTGTCCGTGGCTACTGAAATGTGACCACGAGGGCTGGTTTGGAGCAATTTCACTCCCATTTAATGCCATCAAATCACTTCCAGCGTCGAACAACCCTAACAAGAGTCTTCAGGATACGTGAGATTTCAGCACAGCTGATCATTGCCACCTCCAGCGAGTTTCCATGACTGTGCGGGGATTTGAACCCATGTCCTCCTGAGTCCCAGTCTGACACCTCATCCATGGCACCACACTGGCTCTCGTATTATGTACTAGTAACATTTCTATCCCACCTTTCCTTCAGTTAAACTCAAGACAGCATTCATGATTCTCCTTCCCCCCTGTGACGTGCTGGAGTTTTTGCAACCTTGCATACGGCATTTAAGTAGGTTTGGCTGGGAGGGACATTTCCAGGCTGAGGTGACTGTCAATCTGTCCAGCACTAACTGATCGTTCCTTTCCTGCTTCTGAATTCACAGAGAGCCCTTCCTCTCTACCCTGTTTTCCCTTTCTCTCTCTCTCTTCAGTCTCTTGAAGTCTGGTGTTGAAAGCAGTCATATTGGTTAGTTTGCTGTTTAATCTGTTCAATTGTAAGTACTTGAACCTTTTATTCTTTCTCCTACTAATGTCTCAGAGGGAGACTGCAAGTGCCAGTTGATAAGAAAAAAAGGGGGGTAAACTGAGGAACTTAAAAGTAGACTGCTCTGTGAACCCCTGTACTTCTGCTTGCGCAGCTAGAGGGATTTAACCAGAAAATTAAAATTCTGCAACATGATGTGGATCTGGCTGAGGGAGAAAGAGAGACTGGCTGCTCTTTAGGTAACTTACCTTCCCGTGAGACCTCCCGGGATCGAGCGAGATCACTTTTGTTCCCCACCAAAATAATGGGAGGATCTGTCCGAGGACTTCCGGCTCGCAGGCGCAAGAGCATGGGGGGAACCCTCTGGAAGCTGCGGCGATCAGTCACAGAGAAAACCACCAGGAAGGCATCTCCAGTTTGCAGGCAGGATTCCTGCATCCAACCTCCAAGGTCTCCCTAGAGAAATGTTTCAGGCAGGCAAGAGATCAGAGTGGATGCATATGGATTTTTTAAATCCCTATTTTGATGAGCCATGCCTTTGTTACACCATGGATGGACTACTGGGATGCGTACTTCATGGGGCTGCCTCTGGAGATTGTTCAGAAACTTCAGCGGGTCCAAAATGCAGCAGCCAGATCGCTAGCTGAGGGGTGATCACAGGGATCACAGACACTCGCCCCCCCCCCGTTTCCAACAGCTCCACTGGCTGCTGATCTGTTTCTGTACACAATTCATCCTGCTGATTTTAATCTATAAAGCCCTAAACGGCTTGGGTCCAAGCTGGCTCAAGGAGTGTGTCCCCTTTGATGTCCCTGCTTGGCTGTCATCAGGGGAGGCCTTATCTTGTCCCAATTAATACATTTATTTGGATCATGGGAGAGGGCCTTCTCTGTGGCTGCTCCCGGCCTTTGGAACTCCCTCCCACTGGAGACCAGCTTGGGCCCATCTTTGCTCTCCTTCTGCAAGCGGGTAGAGACTTTTCCCTTGAAGCAGACTTTTCCCTCAGTGACCGGCTGTCTGAAGGGTGTTTTTTTTTTTTTAATGGATGGTTGCTTTTAAATGTGTTTTTGTGTTGATTTTACTTACTGCTTTTAATATAACATTTAATTTTTAAAAATATATTTCAATACTGACTGTTTTTAGCTTTCGAATAATATCTTTTTCATGATGTAAGCCGCCACCTTGGGTCCCTTTCAAGGAGACAGGTGGGGTAAAATATTTTAAATAAACACATTAAAAAAACTCTTCCTGTGGTCATGTGTGGGGCAAAATAACTGCCACTGAAGTGGGGGGGGGGCTTTTTTCTCCCTCACGTCTCTCATTTTAATGGATTATTCCAATTTATGGCTCCACTGAAGTCAGGCGCTCTGGATTACCGTAATTACAGGCAGTCCAGCTACTCCCATCAGTATGTTTGGATAATGGAGGAAAATTCCATTATAACAGGGAGGTTTAGATTGGGATGCTAAATACAGCCCTCCAGAAATTGTTGGACTACAAATCCCATAATGTGGCGGTTCAGGTTTCACTCCAACAACCTCCATCCCTATTTACATGTATTATATGAACATTCATCATAATGTATGGATTAACTGTTTATTATCATTATCTGTAGGCTTAAGGGACAAATCCTTTCAAGTCAGTTTGCAATTAAAATAAAAATGCAACACTCAAATTACATGGAAGTCATCTTGAAAGTTGACATGTTCTAGATGGGTGGTATATAAATCCAATAAATAAATAAAAATAAATGAAACCTAAGTAGCACAGATCCGTTGCTATCAGCAATCTACATCGTGCTGTTGGAGAAACCCTGAATTTTGGCGCTTACTTTCTCCTCTTAAAATCCCCCTGTGAGTTGAATGCACTCCCCATATTTTCGTATACTGTATTCATCTTATATTCGGCCATTCTAAAAACTTTGCTAGCTTCATAATTAATTTGCATACTCATGCACATATTATTTGTGTGTGGAGCTGTGGGTTTTTATGGAGATCTGCATAATTCTGTGTGGCACCCTCGCTCGCTCGCTCTGGAGTGGTTTGGAACGCATTTCCATCAAATTACACGGCATAACAGTAGTGCTTTAAATATATATATATAAAACCAAAACCCTCCATCTCGTTCTTTAGGTTTAGATCTTGATGTATTACTGTTTGCTTAACCAAAACGACATGATCGGGGATATCCGCTGTATTCCAGTATCTCCATATTCTGGGAATTTCTTCTCCTGGATATTTATCAGAAAAATTATTGCTCGGCCTCATGAAGACTCGTGGATACTCTATTTACTAACAACTTCTCACATTTTCCTTAGGAACCAGTCAGGGCCGCTTGCGATGACCCTCCCTCTATTCATGGTCACCTATCCCTTCCCGCTTTGCAAATAATTAAAAAAAATTATTGTTTAAACATTATGTACGTCCTCTATGCTAATAATAGCTCCTCCACCAGGACAGTGGCAAAACATAGTGTAAGCAAAATGAACAAGTAAGTAACTTTCCCATTTCTGTCTATACTCCTTTCCCCCTTGCCAAAACAAAAGCTATAGAAGACATTTATAGAAAAGAAGCATAACCCTGCGCAAAATCCAAAAATCAGATTTGCATCACATATTTATCAAACTGTTATTTATAATCAAAATGGGTTAGGGTCTGTCAGGAGTCTTGATCAGGTTGGGCAAATTCAAAACTCGGGGACGTGGGACTGAGGAGACAAGCAGAAGGGGTCCAAAATTCTTCCTGGCCCGAGAAAATTCATATAGGTATCTTGTTTATTATCTGTTGGAAATCCCAGTCATCAAACTTCCCACTCTTTTGAGATTTTGCTGTTGCTCTGGGCTGTCAAGTTGTCATTAACAACCCTGCTCAGATCTTACTGACTAAAGGCCATGGCGTCCTTTATTTAGTCAAACCATCCAAGACGTCGCATCTTCCTCTTTTCCTACTGCCTCCAACTTTTGCTAGCATTACTGATCTTTCTAATAAATCCTGTCCTCTCATTGGTTTTTAAGTTTTTTAGATTATGCTTGGTTACAGTGGGGTTTGTCATTAACAACCCTGCTCAGATCTTACCGACTAAAGACCACGGCTTCCTTTATTCAGTCAATCCATCCAAGACGTCGCATCTTCCTCTTTTCCTACTGCCTCCAACTTTTGCTAGCATTACTGATCCTTCTAATAAATCCTGTCCTCTCATTGGCTTTTACGTTTTTTAGATTATGCTTGGTTATTTGTGTGGTCATTTAGTGTTGACTGCTTTGTTGTGGTTTGTTTTAACGGCTTGTAAACCACCCCGAATAGTTACCTTTTGTTACCTTTCAGCTTTTCCCCTTATTTATAGGAATGCGAAGGAAATCTATGGCACATTCTGGCTGAAGTCACCAGTAAGCCTTAACTAGAGTAGGTCCATTTGAATCAATTGAATTTACAGAGGAGTTAACTCACCAAATCTTCATTGATTCAATGGTTCTGCTCTAGTGGCCACTTGCTACTGGATTTCGGCCAGCGTAAACCCTAACAGCAAATATCAGATTTGGTGAGAGGGTGATTTTTTCGCCGGATAAATTGTGCTCAGAGAAAAGAATGATATTTCCCCTTCTTCCTCAGCCATGGTCTCGATCCAGACCGTTCTACCAACTCGCTAGCTGTGCTTCGTTAAAACGAACAAGTAATTAGAGGATGACTCATGGGCTTCCACCAACCTGATGTGTTTAAAATGGACTTAATTTACATGTTTCCATATATGTAAATCAATGGTTTTGAAAAACGAAAATTCTTGCTTTGTTGTTAAATTACAGCTGTGCTCCAAAGCGGCATTTACAGAAAAGTAATAGTCAAATAATTCAAATTCTCCTTGAATTATTCAGAGCGACACCTTGCAAAGTAATTATATGTTGTCTGCGGCTGACGATAACTGCTTATATTAAAAATAATTTCAAAAGGGTTTGAAGTACGAAGCTGGCCGGAGTCATCAAACAGGTAAGCTTTAAAGCCGTTCTGAAGGTTTTCCCAGTTCAGTTAGGCAATGTAAAAATCCACTGTGCCATTGTAGGTCTACTTGGCAGTAAGTAGAAGTGACTTCAGTGGGGCTAACGCTTGGCTAAATTCGGATTGTGCCCGAATGATGTAGCCTCAGATTGGAAACAGGACTTCCCCTTATTTATTTGTTTGTTTGTTTAAGTGGGAATTATCCTTGATTCTTCACATTTCCAAAGGATCTTACCTGGTCCCAGATGTCGTATAATATTAAGGTGACTTCCTCTTCGTCTACGTAGAATCTTCTCTCGTAGGAATCCTCTGGGAGAACAAGAAAATGGTTTAATTGGTTTTCTTTTCTTTTCCCCAGGAAATGAAGAACAGGGGAGCTGTTTGGGAATAGGGGTGACGGGCTATGACAGGGCAGGTAACTCCGATTTGCAGCGGAAATTCAAAGGCGCTTGAGGAAATGAAGCGTTATCTGTACACCATCTCGTGAATTGCTTTTGCGGTTGATTGAACAGTTTAATTGGATTTTATTTTACTCAAGTAGCCACAGGGAGTCTTTGGGGAGAAATGTGGAGGGGAAATGAAGTAAACATCATTATTTTTGAGGAATGCCACAGGGTGGCCCAAACCTTTGGACATGACTCAAGACACCTCCCTTCCCACTCAACCCCTGTCCCCAAATTTTGCTAGGAAAGTTTCGTGAAAATTGGAAGTGTGCAGGTTTATGGGTGTGCAGTTCCCAGAATCCCCCAATAGCTGACTGGTGGATTTGGGGAGTTGTAGTCCAAAAACCCACATTATCATCACACCTCTACTGAAAATGGATAGAAGTGTTTGGGCTGCGCCCATATTTTAAATATTTATTTGCGCACAAATTTTTGAGGTACAGTTGCCTCGTTCTCTATTTGATACAGACACCCTCACCATAAACCCACTCCCTCCCTCCCATCTTGAAATGCTGGGCTAACAACTTTGTCCCTCCGTCCCACAAATACAAAATAATTAAATAATGATTAAATGATACACGAAGAGAGCTTGTCACCCTTATTTTCCCCTTTTCTGCCTCTGGAAGTGTTCCTCTGCCTTCAACAAGGGCATGTCAGACAGAAATCCAACAGAGTAAGCTTATGCATTCTCTCCCCGCCCCCTTTTCCTGGATTTTATCTCTGTTGCATCAAATTGTGCCTTTTGCCCAGTTCTTAATATATACACTGCCAGGCTGCATTTCTTTTTTTTTTTTAACCACAACTCCCAGAATCCCCTAGTCTGAGGATTTGTGGAATTAAAGTCCAAAAAAGTAACTTTTCCAAATCCTATGTAACCCTTTATGAAACATCGATTCAGCCTAAAGGGGTGGGACTAAGAAAGAGCAGGGCTGTGAGTACAAGGTTTGAATCCAAAAGAGCAGGAGAACTGAAAAGGCCATTGCTGCTGTTGCCCCTTAAGACTGCAGAAGCCCTTGCCAACTTGGTTTAGGTATAATTCCTATATGTTTGTGTCAGAAGGGTGAATCCACACAGTGGATTTATGAACCGCAGACAACTGAACTGATATTTTATTTTAGGGTTTTGAAGATTCCACCTGCGGAGGCTGATTCTTCTGCGTACCGGATGCCCAGCCCCGTTGAGGAAGGAACCTTGGATTTTTGTCCGACTTTTGAATTCAAAGGGACGCTTGACCTTGGCAATTTCTACAAGCAACTTTTGTATTGGGACTGTTGCCGAATCTTGGGAGAGCAAATGGCAGCCACGGGTGGCGGTTATCATTGCTTGTGTTGTGTGTTCTAGCACTGTGAATAATTCTTGGAAGAATAAGAGGACAGAGAAACAGAAGGGCAATCTCATCAGGCCCCCTCGTTGTCGTAGCTTCTTCCTCCTCCTCCTCCTCTTCCTCAGCCATGCTTTGACTCACCTGTATGCTCCTCCTCGTGATGGGTGCCCACCTTCAGCCCACCAAAGATGGCCGCCAGCGTGGTCTTCCCCACACCGTTCTCGCCCAGCAGCATGACTTTGTAAGGGCCTCGGCCGACCGCCGGGCTGGCGCCTCCGCTGCTGGCCACCTCGGGGGAGCTCGGGGGAGAATCCAGTTCATCCACGGCTGAGGCTCTCACCAACTGGTGTTTGATGGGCAAGGGCATGCTGCCACGCCGGAGTCCGGCCCCTGGTAGCGGTGATGGCAACGCCATGGCGGGCAGCGGCTGCAGGAAGAAGATTCGAGGGGGACAAGAATCGAGAGAGTGGGAAGCTAGCCTTGAATGCGACTAGTGTACAGTTCAGAATACGGGTGCTGATCATGAATGCCATTCGTGGCCTGGCACTGGTGGGGTCTGAGGGATCACCCTTCGCCTCCCCTTCCGCCTGCCTTGTGGGAATCGGACGCTCATCTCCGGGCGCCCCATATGTTCAGCCATAGGGCAGCGGCTGAAGTCTCAGGGAACTCTTGGAACGGCAGAGCTGGAAGGGACCCTGTGGGATCATCCAGTCCAGCCCATGTCCATGAGGCACCATGCAGGAATCGAACCCCCAACCTCTGGGTCCGTCACCTAAACCACTCCTCCTGCGCTTCCTCCCACCGTCTCCAGGCAGCGAGATGGGATTTCAGGGTGAGTGGCACAAAAGGAGGAGAAAAATCCATTTTATTGTGCAAGACGGCATGAAATGCCTGGGTCCCTCTGTTTTTCTGGTGATGGGGCTTCCAGCATGAAGACCTTGGGGGGGGGGAATTATCTCTCTCTCTCTCTGGACTCTAAGTCCCAGAATCCCCCAGCCAATAAGACTGGCTAGTGGAGTCTGGACATTGTAATTCAAGATGGGAATGTTTCTCATTGTTGTTATTATGTGTGTTGCAAAGATAATATTTGTTTAGTAGATAATGCAAGATATCCACTTTGTTTGCCTCTCTCATGCATGCATGGTGGGCGCATGCATGCACATGCACATATGCACATGTGCACACACAACTTTGTTTGCCTCTCTCATGCATGCATGGGGGCGCGCATGCATGCACACGCATATATGTGCGTGTACACGCACACACACGCACACACCCCCTAGCAACTCTAATTGTGACTGATAATTGGCAGCAGCATCCGTGAGAAGAGAAAAATGGTACTCCATTTGTATGGACCTGTCCCCAAAGCATCACTTAATTAATGAATTACTGTACTTAATTAACTACCACTAAGTGAAAGCCTTTCAGTTTTGCTCAGGCCACCGAACACATTTTTAACCCGCAACAAAACCACCAACAGCTTGTTACAGATCTAACGGGCCTTATCCTTCCAGGATAGGTTACCGGTCTCTGGTGAACCCAAACCCAGAGTCCGGTTACAGATCTAACGGGCCTTATCCTTCCAAGACAGGTTCCCAGCCCATTTTCCCTGGGTCCAAACGGATTGATTCTATTCTACTTTAATTTTGTCAGGTTTTTTTCCAATTTCTTCTCATTTGTGTCACCGTTTATCATGTATTAGACACTCCTCATGTGTCTGCCATCGAAGTGTTTTGCCCAGTCTGCTACTACTGTACAGTTAAATCCCCAGCTATTTGGGTAAAAGGATTGCCATATTTCCGGGCGCTTCTGCTCTCAGCCAGCAGAGGAGCCCTGAGCATTGACAAAAAGCAGAGGTGGGTTCACTGAGTGACCAGCAAACCCTTGTCCATATTGAGACAGAAAAAATGACATCTACATTCCCTAATGTGAAACCTGATAGCATCACAGCTTTAGCTGACTCAACCGGTCCATTTTTTTAAGCTCTTAGCTCATCAGCACATCCTGTGGCTGTAGCATCTTGCCAGCACCATTTGTGTGTGTGTGTGTGTGTGTGTGTGTGTGTTGGTGGATCTGTTTCATCCCCAATTTTGTAATGCCACAGCTTCATCAAGAGTCCTGGTGGGGGCTGGAAACTTCACTTTTAAAAATGATATTTTAGGAGTCCGATAGAGAGGTATCACTAAAACCTGATTTTGGGTTAATGATGATTACAGTTTTCATCGCTGTGGTGCTTGTACTCACCCAGCTATGAAAAACCATTATTCGAAGAATGAGGAGTGTAAAACAGCTTAAATCAATTAATAAATGGATGAATAAATAGTTTTTGTCTTCCAGTGGCTGTTACCAAAAACAAATCCCAGAGGGTCTATAAAGAGCTCGTTAATTTTACCACAAGTTGTTGAGGATGGGGACACAACAGCTTTTCGACATGACACCACAAACACACAAGCGTCAAAATTAGAAGCAGATAACCACCCCTCTTTTCTGCACGCGCACACACACACACAAACACACACACACACACACACACACAGAGCCAGAAGATAAACACAACTTTTTTTCAAACACATATTAAAAACAGACACACACACACACTTGTACAATACAACACTCTCTCACACATACAGTACCCACCTCAAAAGATACAACCCTCTCTCCCCCCTCACATGCACACATGCAAAATTAAAATAAGATAAAACTCATCTCTGTCTACACAGACACGCAGAATCAAAATTGGTAAATCATTTCCCCCCTCTGTCCCTCTGACACATACATACACCATTAAAATTAGAAGCAGATAAACTCATTTCTCTGTCTCTCTGTCTCTCTCTCTCTCTCTCTCTCTCTCACACACACACACACAAACACACCCTATAGAGCTGCAGACAGAAAAGCAAGTCATCCATGTATGTCATGCAAATGCTATTTCCCCCCACTTCCTCTTTCTCTCCACCTTGTTATCATATTAATTCTTATTTATTTCATTTATTTATGTATTTGATTTGTATCCCGCCCATCTGGTCTATACGACCACTCTAGGCGGCTTCCAAATGACGTCATAGACAACTAATAAAAATAACACAAAAATATTACATACATCTTCCAATGACAATTCTCATGACATTGCACAATACAAAGACAGATGGACAGTCACGCATTCTCTCTCTCTCCTTCTTTCACTCACACTCACACACTCACACACACACACACACATATGTTTATGCTCACTCCATTTCTTGCTTTGGGAAAAGACCCTGTGGAATTGTGTGTATCTATATGTGTGTTCAGATTTCTCAGATTCCCTCAGATTGGAGTTGATTCCCTCTCACCCCACCCAAATGGTGGATCCATGTGGAGTCTAAAATACTGCTAATTTGAGCCCTTTTTATTTTACCAGAAGGTGCCCCCATGTACCTGCTTGGCAGGCAAGCTGTGCCTTCTTGCTTTCTGCTTGTTTATGAGATTTTATTTCGAAGGAGAGAGAGTTAAAAATAGAATTCACTCTCTCTCTCTCTCACTGGTAGAGGTTTTGTTCTCTGTGGCACAATGCATAGAAATTCTGCTAGCATTGTTTTCACCAGCGTGGAGAGGCAAGATTGCTTCACCTGTTGAATTCCTGCCTGCTGCTGCGCCGTTCGGGCAAGGCACCAAAAATTCCTGCTCGGAGAAAGGATGGCCATGTTGAAGGAAAAGGATCACTGGGTTTTCTTTTGGGTCGGCAATGTCCAAAGCGCGGTCAGCCAAAGGGCGCAACAGAATCCCCACCTTTCTTTCACCCATAACGCCCCGATGTACCACACCAAACACACGTGGCAACACATACACACACACACACACCCCTCGCACTATTGTGCACTCGGTAGATTGATATCGAATTCACAGGAAACAATGGCTGTGGTGCGCTTTTTGCCACACTCCCCCACACCTTAAAGCATAAACAAACATCTCACATAAGAGCCTTGTGTTGCCACAGACACACCCACAGATGTGCACTTCATTCACACAACACCCCCCCCAGTGAGAGGCTATAAAGGAAGGACACAATTCCTTTATAGGAACAGATCATTATAGAGAGGCCTCTTGCATGCAGGAATATATAATTCTGGGAAATGCACACACTCACAAATATACAGTGTGTTTGCGCATGCATGCACGCATGCATGCACACACATCCATGGTAACACTCAGTTTAGACACTAACGCATGAATTATGTATACACTCAGGAGTATCACATGTTCGGGATAGCCTTGTGGACTCCTTTTCTCCATCTGCTACACTGGGGGATACACATTTGCCACACTCACAAGACCATCTGAACAGAGGCCTCCGTGGGCGGGTAATGTGGAAGCACAGGAAAAGTCTAAATGGGGGCTACAATCTTGGCAAAATTAAAGGGGACCCTGGCGGGGGCAGGGGAAGCAGTTATCGCAGCCCCTACTGACAGATTTAATTCAGTGTGAGCTTTTATGGATCAAGAACACCCATTTCCGTGGCTTCACACACACCCAGGCAATATGGCTGTAACACGACACACACTGACAGAATATACTGTCTGAGCATGCATACTGTCTGCGTGCAAGCTCTCCAGAACATCTCCACAAACTCCGATCGCTTCAGTTGCATGGAGTTAGTGCCACGGCACATGCCCACCATAGAGGACTGCACAACCACGCCCAGAACACACACACACACACACACACACACACACACACACACACACACGCTGCTAACCCAAACACGGCTCTTTCTGTTCAGTGCAGACCTTTCAGGTTGTGTCTCCAGAAGAGGAGCACCAGACACACACAGACACACACAAACACACGGCGCTAACCCAAACACGGCTCTTTCTGTTTGTCTCCAGAAGAGGAGCACACATCCCGCAGACGGGTGCGCATGGCGTGGGGTGAAATCTCACCGAAGCCACGGTGCTTCCGTTCGCATGAGAGACATGTTACGGGCATGTCCTATGGGCGCACACCCTATAACCCCAAGCGATCCTACCCCTTTCCCCTCCTGTTCTGACAACGCCTGTGGAGGATCCTGGGGAAACAGATTGTCTGAAAAAGTCTGTGGGGCCACTCACAAAATTTAAACTTCCAGGTTATCTTGGGTACCAACGGCAAACGAGCTCCCTTCAGACAAATCTGGTTCCAGCAGATTCCTTAGCCTTTAGGATCCAGAATCCCTGGTGCGCTATAAAGGCGCATGAAGCCATGCTGGCTTTTTCTGAGCTGGATCCCTGGGGGAAACTCGGTCCTCACAAAGCTCCAAAATTGAGAGACAGGTGGATCCCTCTCTCCCCCTCTCCAACTTTCTCCAAAGTGCACGAGGGGCCTGGCATCGTTCAGACCGCTTATGGCTCTCGCTGATGGGTCTCTGCCAGGGCTCTGCGGCCCCATGCGCTTTGTGCGTCTCACCCCCTGCCAGTTCTTTCCAGCAGAATTTCCTGCTGAACCGTTCGGTGGAACCTAAAGTCCAGAGAAGTTTTGTTTTAAAAAGGGAGATGGTGTGGCACTCCGCACATGAACTGTTTGGACCGTGGCCCAGTTTGCCGCAGCAAGAAGCCACCTCTTTTGCCCGGAGCCAAAGCCAAGAGGTGGGTTTTGAAGACAGAAGCTGTCTCACGACTGACCGTCGGAAACTGTGCTTCGGCGACCTAAGCTGCCTGGAACAGAGGCATGCCGGCACAGCCACGTTCTCGTACCCACGCCGGCTGGCACGCTCCTGCCAGCTTGGCATGCCTCCGTCTCTCACAAAGACAGATCTGCTGGAGACATTTTAGGTGGGGAGGGGGGAAGAAAGACACAATAGCTAACGGAGGTAACAGCCGTCCACTGGAGAGTGGAACCTCTGGATCCCACATGTGCTTAACCCACCGTTGCTGGGTGCTTTCTTGCTCCCCCACTGCCAAGACCATGATCCCCAGCGCCTTACCAGCTTTGCAGGAGCAGGAAGGCAACATTGGCGAGGTCTCACCTTCTTATCCTTTGGCAGATCCGTCGGCTGCTTCTATCCCTCTCCGACTGGCAAGCCATCAGCCACCTACCCCCAACCCTTTAAAATGGCTCCCTCCACACCCTGGGGAACAAAATAAAATAAAAAATAAAATCTAAAAATAAATAAATAAGAATGATCTCTCTGGGGATGCTCCTCCCTGGAGAGATGCCATATGTTTTAAAACAGGGAAGCCATAGGTATCCTGCTCTGCCCACACAGGCTGTTAATATATATATATATATGGGGGGAGGACCCCCCTACAACCCACCTGTTTGTGACACACCGGGATCCAGAATGAGGCTGTCAAAATCTGGAGGGGAGATCCCTGGGGTTTTGCTCACGGGCGCCTTGCAAAATGCCAAATGTCGAGGCAGGCGAGGGGAAAAAAGGGAGAAAGAAAATTAGCAGGAGGGCTGCGTTGTGATGATGGGCAGGTAGATGGAGGCGAGGGGGTGTGTTTGTTAAGAGGGTACAGCGTGGAGGGAGGCAGAGAAGTGGAAGATGATTGGAGGAAAGGAGGAGGAGGAGAGGAGGGGAGGCCGGCATGGCCAGATGGATGGATAGATTAAGGGTTGTATATGAGGGATTAAGAAAGTGGATGGATGGATGGGTTGGTAAACAGCCAGGCAGAATGTTTCCCCAAAGGGAAATCAATGGGTTGATTAATTTATCAGGGAAGTGGACAGAGAGAGAGAGAGAGAGAGAGAGAGAAGAGCAAAGAAGGCAGGGTTCATATTCAAACCTTTAGGGGGGAAAATCCTGCTCCTCCACCCTGACAGTTAATTGTACATTGTTTTGGGGGGGGGTCTAGAAATGCAAGGGAAGGGTAGTTTTGGAAATCATCTTGTCTGTTCCTTTTATGGAACACGACAGGGCTATCCATCCCTCCACGACCCGACCCAGGTGAGTCGATAAATAGGTACCACCTCGGTGGGAAGGTCATGGCATTCTGTGTCTAGTCGTGCTGGCCACGTGACCACGGAAACTGTCTTCGGACCAACGCTGGCTCTACGGCTTGGAGACAGGGATGAGCACCGCGCCCTAGAGTCGGACACGACTGGACTAAATGTCAAGGGGAACCTTTACATTACCTGTGCAGATGTGCACAGATGGGAAAGTTCCCTTTTTGGATGACAGCACCAGAAGCCCACAGCCAGAGCAAGAGCTTGGATGACAGCACCAGAAGCCCACAGCCAGGGCAAGAGCTTGTCTGGGAATGAAGATAATCAGGGGAGGCCTTCCTCTCGGTCCCGCCACCTTGACAGAGACACATGGTGGGGACCCGGGAGAGGGCCTTCTCTGCGGCTGTTCCCAGACTTTGGAACTCCTTCCCACTGGAGGCCAGCCAGTCCAGACTTTGGAACTCCCTCCCACTCGAGGTCAGCCAGTCCCCATCTTTGCTGTCTTTCCACAAGCAGGTAGACCTTTCTCTTCAGGCTGACTTTTCCTCAGTGACTGGCCGTCTGAAAGGGCTTTCTTAAAAGTGGATTGCTGTGTTTTGTTGTTTTAAACGTGTTTTTAATATGGACCAGACTTTGGAACTCCCTCCCACTCGAGGTCAGCCAGTCCCCATCTTTGCTGTCTTTCCACAAGCAGGTAGACCTTTCTCTTCAGGCTGACTTTTCCTCAGTGACTGGCCGTCTGAAAGGGCTTTCTTAAAAGTGGATTGCTGTGTTTTGTTGTTTTAAACGTGTTTTTAATATGGACTTTATTGACCCTCAGTGACTGGCCGTCTGAAAGGGCTTTTAAAAAGTGGATTGCTGTGCTTTGTTGTTTTAAACGTGTTTTTAATATTGACTTTATTGACTGTTTTTAATATACTTGTTTAATTCTTTTTAAAATATTTGTATACTCACTGTTTTAGCTTTTAAATATTGTATTTTAATTGCTTTTAAGCCCCCTTGGGTCCTTTTTGAGGAGAAATGCAGGGTAAAAATATTTTAAATAAATACATTTCTGGGAGTTATAGCCTGCATGGATGGATATGTACATAGACTTGTTCTTGCGAGCTGTCAAGTCAGAACCAACGTACACGGACCCTCATAGGGCTTTCAAATTAAGTGAGATATTTAAGGAGTAGTTTTATTTATTTATTAGATTTAGACCTAAACAATTTAAAATTATGGATGTGCATGAAATATAATAGCACTGTGGTATCCATGGGGGGGGGCGCATCCAAGCCCCCCACCCTGCAGATGCTGGGAAACATGGAAATCTCCCACGCTACACATTGATAGGTCTCGGGCTCCTTCTAGTGTTCAGTTCTGGTAAATATACCATGGAAATAAACAGAAATACGCATTTCTGGGTTATTTTTAGTTTAATATTTTCAGGCAGCGGATAAGTGAATTAGTGGATACCGACCTCATGGATGGGGGGGGGGGCTCCTACCGTAGAAGTAAAATTAAAAAATTAAAATGTTAAGATTACACTTTTTAATGGTAGGTAGATAGGTCTTTTTCAGTCAGGCTTTTAGGAACACTATATTTATTAAAAATAGACATTTTAAAATGTTTTAGAAATGTTTTACCACTAGTTTCCAACCTCGGTTTTCATACTGACAAATGTTTAGCAGTTTCTGAATATAGTTTTTGTGGTATTTTTAAACCTGTGCTTGTTGTACAGTTTTAATTGCTGCCAGCCACCTTGGAAGAAAGAGAAGAAGGATGGAGGCCATTTGGGATGAGAGGCGACTTTGGAGACAGTAACGAATCGCCGTGGGGAATTGAAAGAAAAAGACAGTAAACGAGGAAGCGTTTTCTTGAAGAAGGGGTGAATAAACACATGGGTCGTTTCCATTGATAGACGGTGTCGAAGGGAAAGGGGTGGGCCATTATGAGAGACAGAGATTCTCCCTCCCTTTAAAGATGCTGAATTAGCTGCTGGGTCTAATTAGGCAGAGGGGAGGGGGGAATTATACTATTAGTCATGGGTGGGAGGATGCTAATGAGGTATAATTAATGCCTGCCTGAGAGGGAAAGCAAGGGCCCCCTGGGGAGACACACAGCAAACAAGGTTGAGGCTGGCTGGGTTGTGGGTGAACGCATGGGGACTAGGTATATGAGAATGGTGTGTGTGTGTGTGTGTGTGTGTGTATGAGAGAGAGAGAGAGAGCACATGCATCTCTTTATGTATTTGCACACCTACAATTAGACATAAGGAATGGAAAGAAAAAGAACAGGAAAAGGCACTTGGGCCTTTTTTAGACTGTGAAATCACATGTGCAGGAATTTCAGAGTCAAAAACCGATAGAAGACGGCAGGTATTTGTGACCTCACAGGACAAACCCTTATGATGTCACAGAGAGGAGAGGGAAGGGCTGGGAGGGAGACTGGAAGTACTTCTGGGTCCCTAGAGGCCCAAGGGGGATGTGTGAAAGGGTACCCACTGTTTAGATAAAACCTGGCTAACCAGGTCATTGAGCAACCTGAAAAGAATTGGAGAAACTATTCTCTAGCAAAAGGCACCCAGCATCTGCTGAGGTTGGTACTGTCCTCACGAAGGCTCCCTTGTAGCACACATATCAGCATCATCTCAAGTAGGCCCCTTCAGGGCAGATGAGGTGGATGGAAAGTTCACTGCTAGCCTGCAGGCAGTTTTCTCTGGCATGCATTGCTAGGGCAATGTATGCCAAGAAGTCTCATGAGTCACAATGCAGAGGCTCCACTCTTTGTTTTGCCCAAATGGCACCATTGGCCTAAGAGGAGGTTCTCTTTTCCTTACTCTTGGTATTCTGGCATGGTGCTTTTGTATAAACACAGAAATGCCTTCACGCCGAGGAGCTCTGGTACCAGTTCTGAATAGGTCGCGCGGAGCGTCCAGGTTTTGAAATTACTTCACATTTAAAAACAAACCCTTGTCCTCCTCTAAAGCGATTTGCCCAAAAGTCTGCCACCTGCCCTAGGGAAAGAACGGCCTCTGCCTCGAACTTTATTAGACAACTCCATGTGGTAGATTTGTGTTGCTTTCCATGGTTCAAATCCCTTCTCTGTTCTTTCTCTCATCCTAAGATATGAACTCAATGTCACTTTTTCTCTTAATTCATCACTCCAGAGAGGATTTGAACTCATCACCCTTAGATGACAAGTTTTCTAGGCTGTTGTCAGGGAAACAGCCTCAAGGGGTGGAGAGAAAGAGAGAGGGTTTCAAGTGGCTGCTGCATTTTAGTCATTTATCTTGGTCTTCATTCAGCCAGAATGACCAGTTGTTTCCTGTACCTGTTTGTTGTTCCTGCCACCTTGCGTTGTGTTGTGGATGTAACCCGCCCCCTTCCTGAACGGGGTCCCATGGCCGCCTGGTTGATCGGATTTGGAACCACGGAGGGTCACCTTCAGCCTCATGTCCCCAAAGTGACATCTTAACCGGCGTCATTTATCTTGGTCTTCATTCAGCCAGAATGACCAGTTGTTTCCTGTACCTGTTTGTTGTTCCTGCCACCTTGCGTTGTGTTGTGGATGTAACCCGCCCCCTTCCTGAACGGGGTCCCATGGCCGCCTGGTTGATCGGATTTGGAACCACGGAGGGTCACCTTCAGCCTCATGTCCCCAAAGTGACATCTTAACCGGCAGAATTAATTCCTCCTGAACGAACTTACTTAGACTGCCCGCTGGCTGTTCCCAGTTTCAATGGCAGCCGGGCCAACTGGAATTACATCTCGGGTGGAATTCAGCCAGAATGACCAGTTGTTTCCTGTACCTGTTTGTTGTTCCTGCCACCTTGCGTTGTGTTGTGGATGTAACCCGCCCCCTTCCTGAACGGGGTCCCATGGCCGCCTGGTTGATCGGATTTGGAACCACGGAGGGTCACCTTCAGCCTCATGTCCCCAAAGTGACATCTTAACCGGCAGAATTAATTCCTCCTGAACGAACTTACTTAGACTGCCCGCTGGCTGTTCCCAGTTTCAATGGCAGCCGGGCCAACTGGAATTACATCTCGGGTGGACCCAAAGGGTCCCTGAAACCCGCCTGCCTCACAAATAAAAAGCCAGAACAGGGCTTTTTTTTCCACGTGGAACTTCCCAGAATCTCATAACCAGCCTGAATTCTGAAAGCTGTGCTCCAAAAAAGGCAAAATTGTGCAGCGCTGGTACAATAAGTAGATTTTAAGGCATCTATAGGAAGCAGCTGTAAGAAGGTTGGGAAGGGACCCTCAAAGGCCAGCCAGTCTGACCCCCCCTTGTCTTGAAGGTTGGTCCGCCTCACCACTAGACCCTTCAGCGTTTCCCAGGTGGGCCCATCGTTGTTCCGTCAGGAAAGACCTGGAGAAGAATCGCTTCTTTGTTCCTCATTCTCATCCTCACAACTCTCATATTGCCTTTTCCCATCAAAATCTACGAGCTGATTCATCTCTACCGCAAAGCCGGGAAGGCTGTTTCGAGGATTGACCTGAATTTATGGGCACTAGACTGAGAGGATGAGTCACCAGATACAGCCCCTTGTTGGCAGAACGGGAGACTTACGGGCTGGTGGCGACGCTGCCTGCCGTACGATGGAAGTTTCATTTTAATATAAATCAAAGCAAGCAAGTCGGTGGAAAAATTTGGGTCAAGACCACGGCTCAGGAGGAATGTCATCCTTTTTCTCTGCGCACAATTCCTCCAATGGGAAAAAAAAACAACACCCTCTCACCAAATTTGACAATTCGCCTTTAGAGCTTACAACGAAATCCAGTAGCGAGTGGCCACTAGAGCGGGGCCACTGAATCAATGGAGATTTAGTGAGTCAGGTCCTCTGTACGTCCAATCGATTTAAATGGGCTTACTCTACTTGTGACTTACTGATAGCCGGCTCAGGAGGAATGTCATCCTTTTTCTCCGCGCACAATTCCTCCAATGGGAAAAAAACAAAAACCCTCTCACCAATTTTGACAATTTGGGTGGCCAAAAAGAAAAATTAAGTCGGTTCTAGATCATTGGGGTGGGCCACCACTGAATCAATGGAGATTTAGTGAGTCAGGTCCTCTGTACGTCCAATCGATTTAAATGGGCTTACTCTACTTGTGACTTACTGATAGCTTCAGCCAGCGTGCTATAGATCGCCTTCACGTTCCTATGCATGGCTAAACAGGGGAATAAAGCTGAAAAATAACAAAAATAATTGATTCATACAAAATGTGGCTGGCATTTGAGGAGAATGTGAAGGAGACTATCGGTGGCCAAAAAGAGAAATTAAGTGGGTTCTAGATCATTGGGGTGGGCCGAAATTGACACAATCTGTGGCCCTGAAGCTGAAAGATTATGATTATGCAGAGAGACTTTCTCTCTCTCTCTCGGCATCCTCATACAGTGGTGCCCCGCATAGCGACGTTAATCCGTTCCAGGATTAACATCGCTATCCGGATTTGTCGCTATGCGAGGGAGGGGGAACCCATAGGAATGCATTAAACTCCGTTTAATGCGTTCCTATTGGGGAAAAACTCACTGGTAAGTGAAGATTCCCCCATCCGGCTGCCATTTTCGCCCATTTTGGAACCGCTGATCAGCTGTTTTCTAAACATCGGCCATTTTGGAACCTCTGACCAGCTGTTTTCTAAACATCGCAATGCGAAGATCGGTAAGCAAAACGCTTACCGATCATCGCAATGCAATGTTTAGCCTATCTAAACATCGCAATGTGATCACATTAGCAATTGCAAAAAACACGTCGCTATGCGGATTCGTCGTTAAACAGTGCGCTCGCTAAGCGAGGCACCACTGTACATCAAAGGTAGACTTGGCTTCGAAACAAAGATTCGATAGTTACGTCTCCGAGGTCACATATCAAACTTTGTAAATCTGCATTGGCTCTCCATGAAACCCAAAATGGGAGTGAAAACACACACAATCACCTTACCCTTAGATTTCAACATTTTTTTTTTAAAATCCTTAGCCAAACTTTTAAAGGCAACAGAAGGCGAAATAACAAACAGAACGAACCAGTTAGTGGTCACAGCTCAATCACCAAAAAGAGAAAGAAAAAGAAAGAAAAAGGACACAGTGCAAATATTTGCTCGTATAAGTCAGTGCTCTCATTGCTATCCAACTCTCATCCTCAAGGGGGTTGGGAAATAAAACCGGAACAGCAGGCAAAAATGAACTCCTGGTTCTGTTAAATATCACCCACTGATTCACCAAATACTTGAGAAGAACCCTTGCCAGAAAAACATATATATATATAATTTTATAAATAACAGATACTTGCATCTAACCTCTTGTTGCACTGGTAAACAAAGTCAGGGGGCCCAATCCACCAGGTTTTGATGCCAATAGAACCATACACAGAAGAACGAACTAGTAGATTTGAATCTTTGACTATATTTTTCAAGGGAAGATTTTTTTATTTTTACTGTAGTGATGCTATGGCAAATTCAACCACAGCCCTCCACAGAGAGTGGATATCTAATCTGGTTTCTTTCTTTCCAATGGGACTTCTGGATTGGTGCCATAAAAATGCACCAATTTGATCCGTTCTCACGGAGGCTCTCCTTTTGCAAATTAACAGCAATGATTTTGTTTTGGAACTAGTCCGTGGATTTTCCTAACCTGCTGTGGATTTTCCATTTGTGTATTCACAACAGGATGTTAACAGCTCAAGCAAGTGTCACTATGGGCTGTTTGTTTACCTCTCCTATTACTGCTGCAGAAACAAATCTAGGAACACCGAATTGTATTAGTTGGAAAATGAATGTGGGTTACACTTTTTCTTTTTTGGACAAAATTCTTTGTCAAAAGTCCGTTTTCATAGTTTACTTTTTTTGTGTGGCTTTCACGGGCCTGATCAGCCGACTATGAGGCAACAACATTTACACCTAATATTCCCATTTTGTATTATTTTAAACCAATATTTTCAACTGTTATTTTTTTCAATGTGTGCGCGCATCAAACAGACAGAAAGAGCTGAGCAGACATTCAACACAGAATTTATCCTTTCAAACATCTGCTTAAGAAACATGTTTCTAATGGAACTTTTGATTTTTAATAGTCTTATTAAAAAGAAATCAGGCCATTTTGAGTTACTGGGATGGATCCCTGCTTTGCCACATTTAAGAGACCCTCTGAAATCAATGGGCTTTCTTTCAGACATCTAATGACAATCAGTTATGACTACCTCATGATTCAACTCCACGTTAACTGTATTAATATTATATTTTAGTCAACGTCTCTCCACATTTTTACTGGCTTCTGTCCTAAAGCCTTAATCTCATTTCATCTTGAAAACAATCTTTTAAATTTAAGATTTCAAGTGGGCCGATAAAATCATTCCATCTAAATTTATTTTTGAAAAAAAATCTCCCCTGTATTTATACTTAGTCACGTTCCTTTCCTGCATTGTCAGAGGAACAGAAATCAGCAACGGATGAATTTTTAAACAGATCTTTGCCCTCAAGATATTTCTGCTATCTTTCATATAAAATTATCCATATTTACAGTGGATTAGATATACCCCATGTGCAAAATTTAACCTCTTTCATTGGCTGTGCTTTTAAAAACGATTTACAAAATATTTATCGAGAAAAAGTTAAAATATGTGTTTTCTTGCTTTCCTGCTAGACCCAAACGCTTGCCATCTTGCTTACTCAGGAGTAAGCCCCACTCGGCACAGCGGAATTGACTTTTTAAACAGACATATGATTACACGGCTATTTTCCAAATGCCATCAAAGTAGTTTCTGGGAAGTTCCTGATGTCACACAGGTCTAGCTTTCTTTCAATATTTCTAGAACTTCATAAACTGCTTTGTTGTGACATTATAAAGGGAGGACGAGGGGTTACTGGCGAATTCAACCCTTAGCTGTTTAAGGTTTGGACGAGGGGTTATTGGCGAATTCAACCATTTTTTAAGGTTTGGCTCTAAGGGGTTACTCTCTGGATTTCCTTACAATTATCTATGGCTTCCTTCACTTATAAGCAAAGATCTGTAGTGTCTCCACACACAGAACATTATTTGCTTTCTTTCCCTCCTCCTCGCTTGTTGAAGAACATTTTTTAAAATGTCAAGTGCTCGTACTTCGATCCTTTCCCATACAAGTTAGAATTTCAGTGCGAAATGAACCAGAACCTGTTACAGGCAGCCTTCAGATAATTCGGTGGACCTATGGACCCTTTTCTCTTGTCTTACTACACAGACCTAAACAATGGTTCCAGATAAGACTCATGATGATCTGGAGGGGGAATTAAGGTTGTTTCTGTTCCCCCAAGCTATGCATCACCCCTTTTCTATCCTCTTCCCCCACAAACAGGTGAATCACGCTTCTAGAGGAGGGGTAGACAGCACAACACCGAATTCTAAAAACATTTTTTTGGAAGGGACATCAATGGCTTTAGAAGCTCCTTTCTGATCTCTAACTGACATGGGGGGAACAATGAAGAGAGGGGAAACCGCCCCATTCTTCTCAGGCTACCTCTAAATTTTGACATTTTTTTCTCCACTACGGGGCATAAGGAGTCTCAGCTTGCTTCTCCTTTTTTTGTAAAAATAATCATTTAAAAATGGGGGAGTAGGTGGTTATGGGAATGATTCCCTCCACCACCACCATCCAGGGTATGTGTGTGTGTGGGGGCATCGAGATCTCTAGGGACTGCCTCCGTCGAGGTATGATTTTCTCTAGAAATCTAGGTGGTCCCCGTTGAGGACTAGAATCATGGGACTTGTCAATCTGGACTTAAGTCACACTGGTGACTCCATTCGGGTTATCTCCCCCCCTCCAAATGACTAAGACTCGACTCGCAACTCAGAACCAATCCATCGCTCCTTATTTTCTGGCAAAAAAAGAGAGAGCTTATTTTTAATAAGTACGTGAGCTTGGGACTTGGTACCAAATCCTCGAACTCGGGACTCAGACCCTAAGATTTGCCAACATCCCTGTATCTTATTTAACCAAAAAAAAGGGGAGGGGGAAATATATATTTAAACAGAAACTGTTTGTTTGCTTTCTTGTTTTAGCGACTGCCCTGTCAATTTCTGCTTCATCAGGAGCAGATGGTGTGGCTTCCCCCCCTAGAATTTGCTCAACATCTGGTATTTCAGGGACAAATCATTCCCTATTTGGCTAAAGAGAAAGTTCGGAGACAGAACAGAGAGGCGTTCAGAAGGCCCCGATTAATTCACCCTCTCGCTCAAAACGCCAAGGCTAAGGGTGGGGTGTAGGATCTCTCGTTCTCCTTTCCTTCCTAAAGAGCCAGAAAAAATGATCTCTGACCCATCCCCACATGCTTCAAATTTGCTTATTTTACGAAAGGGGGGCAAATTTGGGTGGAGGAAACAGGACAGGGTGAAATCTTCCCAACCTGTAATCGAGGTGCAATGATTTGCTCTCAGGAAGGTTTTTTAAAGGCATTCCAGTGTTGGATTTAAAAAAAAATTAATTGGTAGAGAAAGTTTTTCATGTCAAAAGGGGCTCGTCATCAGCATCCCAGTTTGCAGTGGCATTCGCGTTCTCGACTCGTGGCTCGGTGAGGGGTAGCAAAAGCACGTCGTCCTCGTCTTCGGGAGACGGTGGCGCACTGAGGGGGTCCCCTTGGTTTGCAGAGGAAGAGGGCACCGGGAGGAGCCGTGCGCGGAAGATGTGAAACACTCCCGAGTGCCACGGAGCAGGAGGAGGAGCAGGAAGAGGAGGAGCTTCTGGCTCCGGCACAGGTTCTGCAGGAGTAGGCGGGACTTTCTGAGGAAGAGGCGGAGCCTGTTCTTCCCGCGGGCCAGAGATGCTATTTTCATCCCCCGAGAATGGTTCAGGCGAGGCGTTGGTCCCTGTGGTGGTGGAAGCGGCGGCGGCGGAGCCCATGGCACTCGAAGACGCCGAAGACGCCGGAGCCGGCCGGGGCAGCAATCCCAACCGGCGCATGCGCCTAACTAAGCGGCGCATGAAGCGACTCCGATGGGAACGGTGACCCACGTTGGCAGGAGCAGTCGCGGTAGCTGGGTCTCTACGTATCATGTGCAACAGAGACCGCAAATTCCCCAGCACTGAATTCTGAAAGGAGGGGGATCGAAAGGAAAGAAGTACAAGTAAATCAGATATGAAGGCTGAACTCTATGCGACACAAGCCTCACAACTGGAAGGTGATAAAAAGCCATTCCTCCAGAAAAATGTGCTTTTTCCAGGCTGCGCAATCTCCTTGTCAAGACAAGCCCACCATCGCCTCCTGATAACCAACCACCGAATACAAGCCAGCTGAGCCGAAACCAGCAGGGCTGCAGAAAGCTCGTGTGAGGAAAAACAAGCATTCTTTACCTCTTAAGCAAGCTACGCTTCCAACTGCAAAGCTGTTGCCTCGTGCAATTTTAGGCCCTAAACGTGTTTAATAGCCAGAGTCTCCCTCAGGGGATCGTAGCAGCTTAGTTCTCTGAAAGGCTTGAAAATTCTCCATTAAGATATTCCTGCGTTTCCCCCAGAGAACCATGCCCTACGCTTCCTTTGGTGGAGGGCCTATTGAAATTGCAACCAGACAAGGTTTACAGCACAGGATGAAAAAAAAAACCACTTAAAATCCTCTGTATATAACACAATAATTTATTCGAGTCTCTGGTGCCTTTGAATGAAATGAAACCCTGATATTTTAGAACTAAAACAGCATGGACGGCTGAAATATTAGCGGTTCCAGTACACTTCCCGACAGACGAGATCTAATTGGCCAATTATGAACATACATCTATGCAGTTCCACATAATTTGAGCTTGTGAACTGCTGCTGCCCTGGAAAAAAAAAAAGATGATGACAGTTCCCCTAGTTTTGCATCTACATTTTCCTTTCTCAGAGGAAACCCGGGCTTAATGTGAGGGTCCCTTCTCAGGTGTGGCCATAATTGACACGAATCTTATCAGGGGTTTTCCATACAGCCAGCTGACCATAAAGAGAGCTCTCCGTGCAGTGTGGAAGCCTCAAGGTAGTCCTTATCACAGAATAATATAAACATCAGGCCTTAGAAACAATTGGGTGGAAGGGAATCTTGCTCCAGGATGAGACAGCTTAAGTAATAATACAGTGGCGCCTCGCTTGACGCCGTTCCAGTGAAATCACTGTAGAGCGAAATCCTTGTCAAGCGAAATAAAAAAGCCCATTGAAATGAATTGAAAACCAGTTCAATGCGTTCCAATGGGCTAAACATCTCAGCGTCCAGCAAAGATGCTCCATAGGGTGGCAATCTTCCATGCCTGTGCAGCGAAAAATTCCTTCCTGAACACAGTGGGAAGCCATTTTGAGCAGCTGATGGCCATTTTGAAAACCCAACGATCAGCTGTTTTGATCACCGTAATGCGAGGAATCGGTTCCCGAAGCAGGGAACTGATCCTCGTAAAGCAGTTTTTGCCTATTAAAACATTGTTTTGCGATCGCAAAAACTTCATCGTGAAGCGGATTCGTCGTCAAGCAGGTTAAGCGTTAAGCAGGGCACCACTGTACTGCAAAACACACCATGCGGGGGGAAATGACAATAAAAGGGAAGAGATTGGCTGCACTTTTTCTCTTAAGCCAAGTCATGAGATCCTTCTTGAGAGAGAATTTTAAAAAGAGGCTACGTTGGCCATCTTACCTGATTAGGGGATTCTGTAGGGAACCCATCCACGGGGGGAATGACACCACGAGCGATGAGCTGTCCGTAGGACGGCGGAGCTTGACGTTGCACTAGCTGGGCCTCCATCCGTGACATGGGGGCTAAAATACTGTGGAGGGGAAGAGGAGACGGTGAGAATCATGTCCTCCTTTCATCTCTTTCTCTCCCTTGATAACAACAATCATCACCTCAGAACAGCAGAACCAGAAAGAACCGCTAGAGATCAGCGGTTCTTAACCTTTTCTTTACCACGGACACCCCCTTTAAATAACTTTTGTTGCCGCGGACCACCAAGACTCAACTCAAGGTTTAAAACCTTAAAGTGCATCAAATATTTATTTAAAGTTTCTCATGAAGGGCCTTCAAAATTGGAGAGAAGGGAGAAATAAGTTAATCTGTTAATGCACACACTCATATTGTAATATTCTTATTGGAATGATTCCATGAAAATTTGTTTCTTTTTCTTTCTTGATTTCTTTCATTCACTTGTTCTTTCTATTTGTAACTGCAAAAGATCATAATATGCCTTCCAAGACTTCACGGATGCCCTGTGAGGACACTGTGGCTCTGCCAGGGGTTCACGAACCACAGGTTAAGAACCTAGGCTATAGATCATTGAGTCCAGGCCCCTGTCAGTGGAGAATCGGAACTCGTGACCTCCGCAGCCAGAGACCTAAACCATCAAGCTATCTGACAGTCCTCAGCATCCTTAGCAAGATTTCCCTCATTGAGAAGCATTGGACGGACTATAGATCATTGAGTCCAGGCCTCTGTCAGTGGAGAATCGGAACTCGTGACCTCCGCAGCCAGAGACCTAAACTGTCAAGCTATCTGACAGTCCTCAGCATCCTTATCAAGGAACAGCATGCTCAAACCAACATCCCATAACTCTTTCTGCTTTCATAAAAGCTTCTCCTTTTATCTTTATTCATCCTTCCTCTTTCAACAATAATTATACTGGAGTGGTCTTTCATTTCATTTAGCTTCCTACACACAGCTGAGGACCAAGTTTCGAGTAACACTCCAACATAAGTCTCCAGACATGGAAGAATGCAAGAGTTATGCTGATCAGCCTCAAGCCGTATTGCAGTTTAACATTTTGTTCCCAAAACTAATTACCTACAGGGAGACAGCCAGCAGGACGTGAGGGGAATTATAACCTTTGGCTTGAATTTTCCAGTAACTGATACACGGAGATGCTTTAACTCAGTATCAGATACATCAGTTACTAGATTTGCCTCTTAATCTTATAATTAGATCCCAATTAATAGTCACCGATGGCCCTAAACACCATGAATATCTAATTCCCTTTGACGTTGTCGAAATAAATATCTGCCAATACATCTTGTGGCAGGGAGTTCCCCTGGTTAATCATCGGCTGTGTTAAATACTTTGTTTTGTCTGCTCTGAATTCAGTTCAGCGATGAGCCCAACTTCACATTATTGTGTGAGAGAGGCAGAAAACCAACCAACGTCCTCCACAACATGCATAATTTTATATGCCTTATTAGGCTCCCCTCTCCAAAAAACTGTTCCCTTTCTTCTGACCCTAACCATACCCAGAGATTGGAATTTTTGGATTTTCCTGACTACAAATTTTCCATTCTGGCACTTCTTACATACTTTACAGGCACCTGAATGAGATACGCTTTGGAGAAAGGCCTAAATTAGAAGACTTTGAGCTAGGCCAAGCTTTGCCCAAGTTTCCTGCTCAGATAGAAAATTCCCAGCTAGCACTGGGGCAGGAACAGGAAGCTTTGGAAGAGCTAGGCTGAGCTAAGACTCACATCTTACCATTTAAGTCCTTTCTCCCAGGCGAGCCACATATTTGTAAGGCACTCATAAGGTACATACATCTCCCAGAATCGAGAATTACAGTATTCTCTGTGCTGTCCTCTGAAGATTCTCAGAGAATCTCGATTCTCCCAGAATCGAGAATACTGTAATTCTTAAGTCAGTCACAGAGACCTGTGAAACGTTAGGAAGAACAACAGAACATGGCCAAAGAGCCCCAAAAAACCAATTTTCATAGTCCAGAAAATTCAAAAATCCCATCCTTGTGGGCTATTTCTCTCAAGCCCTTCTCTACTCCCACCTTGCTTCTGTCACTGTCCTATTCAGGCTTATGCCTCTGGAGATCTGCAATAAGTGACCCCTCTCCAATGCCACCCAGCCCGTGTTTCCAGCTGTGACCCTCACCCAAACTCGTGGCTCCGGAGGGCATAAAGCCGGCACGTGCAGCCCAGGGCGATCACCAGAAGGAGTCCGCACACCAAGCTGCCGATGACAGCAGCTGTCACCACCTTGCGCGGAAGCACGTAGGTGCAATCGGACTCGTCCGACGCGTCGGTGCAGTCCGCTTGCCCGTCACACACCCAGCTCTCGTAGATGCAGCGCCCGTCTCGGCAACGGAAGTTGCCCGGCTGGCAAGTGTAGCAATGGCGCTCGTCGGCCGCGTCCGCGCAAAAGGTCTGGTAGTTGCAGCGGTCCGCGGGGCTGTAGCAGACGGCGCCGCTCAGGCCTTGGCCCCCGCAGGCGTACTGTCCGGGCGGGCAGCCCCGGCAGCTTTCCTCGTCCACGCCGTTAGCGCAGTTCCAGGTCCCGTCGCAGCGCTCCGCGGCGCTGTAGCAGGTCGCTCCTTCCCCGTCTCCTCCGCCGCAAGGGAAATCCCAAGGCACGCAGAAACCTCGTACGTGGTAGGTGGCGTTGAAGCCCCGGTGGGTCGTTCCCGGCCCCGCCTCGTACACGACCCACGCTTGGCTGGAACGCGAGTCTACCGTTATGACCTTGTTGTTGCTGGTGTAATCCAGGTTCCGCAGCAGGTGCGGCTGGGGCGCGGTTCCAGGGACCCCCTCGTAGACATGGAGGGAGTCCCCGATGTCTAATTCGAGCAGAGTGAAGCGAATGCTCAAGGGCCGGCTGTCATGGGCATCCAGGGCCCACTGGCAAGGGCTTGCACCCAGGTAAACATCCGAGGCAAAGCCCGGAGAAAAGAAGACCCCGTAAAAGCTGTTCAGAGTGAGGTTGCACGGGATGGCAGGCGGTGGTTTAGACTCTGTAGCAGAGAGAGAGAGAGAGAGAGAGAGAATGAAAATGTGTCAGAAATTGAGCAGAATAGCTAGGACCTCTGCTGGATAGCTATAGAGTTGAGCTACAGTGATGCTTCGCAAGACAAATGCCTCGTGCAACGAAAAACTTGCAAGACGAAAGCATTTTGCGATTTTTTTTGTGACTCGCAAACCAAATTTTTATATGGCTGTGCTTCGCAAGACGAATAGGAACACATTAATTAAATTTCAATGCATTCCTATGGGAAACTGCGCTTCGCAAGGCGAAATTTTCGCAATGCAAAATGACTCACAGAACACATTATTTTCGTCTTGCGAGGCATCACTGTATCTGGCTATAGAGCCAGAGGTTGGGAATTTGATTCCCCACTGTGCCTCCTTAACAATGATTGGACTCCCATCATCCATAGGGTTCCTTCCAGCTCTGCAGTAGACTTGGGGATACGAATCCAGGAGATACCAATACAAAGCTCATCAGCACAGGTGCCAGGGCAGTCCATTCCCACCCTATAGAACCAGCCCGGCCCACTCAATCTGGATGATCAGTGGCCTCAGCCTCCGCCATAGGCTGCCCCACCTCTAGAAATGGCCATATCTGGCCTTTCCAAACAAGACGTGGCCAGACAGAAACTTCTTTTTCCTGTTTTTTTTTCCATTCGGGATGTGTGTGAAGGCTCTGGGCGACTCACCCCTAAGTGAAAACCATTGCTTGTGGAAATTCTCAAGAGGAAACAGAGATCATTTTTGGGGGCAAAATAAAGCAATATATATTGAATTTTTCAACCCCAAAGGTGGGCAACGTGGTCTCCAGAACTGCCCTCTAAGCTATTTTTGCAGATTCTGGAGGTCCTACCAATGTCTTCAAAGTAAGGAATGCATTTATTGTATTTTTATTTAGGGGTTTTTTTGAAGGTTAAAAATGTTCTCCACCCAAAAGTAACATTTTAAGATAAAACAGATAAGCAGGATTCCCCAGCCCATCCCCACATCCCAATCCCAGATTGAAAAAAACATAAGGTGGATGGACACCCAACCACTTTCAATTTGAGATGTTGCTTGGTTACATGTGTTGACATTTGGAGATCTGATCCAGCAAATTCGCTGACATCTCTCACTAAGGCCATAGAATTTTTGTGAAAGTCATTCCTTCTCTCTTCTTATCTTACAAAACTGGCTTAACCAGACGTGATTTCACTGGCTAAAATCCTGTTGCTCGGTGTAGCAATTCACAACTACAGACGTGATTTCACTGGCTAAAATCCTGTCGCTCCGTGTAGCAAGTCACAACTAAAGTAGACCCACTGAATCAATGGAGCTTCATGGAGGAGCTGATTCACATATTCCCACTGATTCAGTGGGTCTACTCTGGTTGCGACTTAAGACGTGATTCAATGGGTCTACTCTGGTTGCGACTTAAGACACTAAAATGCTCACAGGTATTTATTCTAAAAGCAGCATTTTAAGCGTAAGCCTCTTGAGACGCTCATTTCAGCTGAAACGCAGGCCATAAATCTTCTAAATAAAAGAACATGCATATCTATGAATGAGAGGTTTTAACTAGTGGATTAGTCAGCCAAAGCTTTGATTGCCCTATGAGTTGGGGCCAATCTTTATCCGTCCCAATTAATTTGGGTGGAGAGAACTGAAAATTAAGAGCTCCATCGGAAAAAAAAAACCTGAACAAATACCTATTTCCCTGAAAATAAGACCTAACCTGAAAATGAGATCTAGTGCGATTTTTCAGGATGCTCGTCATATAAGCCCTACTCCAAAAATAAGCCCAAGTTAAGTGAAACCCCCACCCCTGTGCAGCAACCAGAAGAAGACAACATGACTGTATTTGAATAAATTTAGGTCGTTACATGAAAAAAAATAAAACATCCCCTGAAAATCCCCTCCCTAACGCCGAGGGAGGCCCAGAGAGAAAGAACAAGAAACCGGGCCTTCTCGGCAGTGGCCCCTTACCTTTGGAACAATCTGCCTGCAAAGATCCGCCTGGCTCCCTCGCTGGGTGTTTTTCTGAGCCAGCTTAAGACCTGGCTTTTTAGGCAGGCTTTCCTCTCCTCAGAGATCCGCCTGGCTCCCTTGCTGGGTGATTTTCAGAGCCAACGGATAGACCTGGCTTTTTAGGCAGGCTTTCCTCTCCTGTCAATATTTTTTCCCCATCTTGAACTATATTACTATTGTTGTTTTTTATTTTATTTTATTGTTTTTATTTTATTTGTTATTGTCAGCCGCCCAGAGTAGACTTCGCTCTACATGGGCAGGGTATAAATTTAATAAATAAATAAATAAAATAAGCCCTAATGCATTTTGGGAGCAAAAATTAATAAAAGACCCTGTTTTATTTTCGGGGAAACACGGTAGAAGGAGGATGTGCCATGGGGCTTAGGTAAACGGGCAGAAAGAAGCCTGGAAATGGAGACACGTCACTGAATGGATGTGTAGCAGGATGGAAGCGTGTAGATCAATGGGGAGACGGAAGGAAACCATAAATAGTTCAGCAGCAGGGGTGCAAATGAGTCAGAAGGCTACCTTTCCCCCCCTCTCTGACATAGTGAAGCACTGAGCCTGTTTTATTTGCTCTCCATACCTCTCTCATATTTGAGCTGAAACCCACTCCCTGTCATAAACTTCCAGCTGTAGGTGAGGGTGAGATTCCCCCCTCTGAACCGGAGAGGCTCTGGGTTTTTGTAGCCACAGATTTTCCTAAGAGGCTGAGATGGGGGCCAGATGGTTAGCATCTCGGAGCTGCAGGAAAGAGAGAAGCGCTGGAACCTGAAAAAAAAAGGAGAAATTGAGAAGGAGAGAGAGAGAGAGAGAGAGAGAAATCTGTATCAGGTTTGGTTACTGGGAGCTGGGAGGCAGTAGATCTGTTGGCTGTATCCTGTTCCTACAGAGACCCAAAGAGTTTATTGGGAGGTTTGCACATGCAAAAAAAAAAATCTGTGTGTGAACTGGCTTACAGAGAAATTGGACAACATGGATGATGGACATTGTTACCCTTCTGGCATTCCAGCATGATCAACACAGGATGCCCCCTTCAGTCCATCTCGATCAGCAGCATCCAGCAAAGGCTTTTCTGCCAGTTTTATTCCCCTATCCCTTTCTGGAGATCCTTGGTACTTCCTAGTGAGGTCTCCCATCCAAGTACTAACCAGGCCAGACCCTGCTTAGCCTCCAAAATCAGGCAAGATCAAGTATGTTGGGGGCAATAGTGTGGCAAAGGGTTAGCTGACCTAACTAGGCATGGGATTTTCCTATTTCTTGGAACTACAGCTCCCAGAAGCCTGCAGGGATTTCCTCAGTTTGAGGTCTAGGGTATTTAGCCCCCCCTCTCAAATCAAACTCCTCAGGTATTTGTAATAAATAGCTTACAGCCGAGGAATAAGAGCTGCTTCAGATGTAATGAGTCTTCATGAAGATGGAAGAAATGGCTGGCTGGAGTGAAGGTCTCTGGGAGATGCAAGGCATTAGGGGGTCTAGGGGGTCTCTCTGCCCATCACACTCCTTATTTATTTATTTATTTATTTATCTGTCTGTTTGTTTGTTTAGCATCGTTTGTAGGCTGCTTTTCTTCTTGTAAAAGGCAAAAGAGGCACGCAGGGTGCCTCTTGAAAAAATTTGGGTAGAAAACTGAGAGGACTTTGATCTCCCGCCCCCCTCGAAGTGAGAACCCTCCTGGAGGTCCTGACTAGGGGAACTCTTGCAGATTTCTTGGGACTGTAGTAAAAAAAAAATTAAATGAACATCTCATGCCTAGACACGACAGAGGGACCAAGCCCAGCGACTACCCAACTCTCCCAATGATGGGGAGAGGTTGATATTTTCATCTCACCTGATGTAGATGACGTCCTCGGGCCCACCCAGGATCACCCAGCTGCAGCTGCTATAGGACATTCCCAGTGGGGAAGGGCTTCGGATCTGGCCTTGCGGTTCTTCCCTGTAATCAGGATAACCTTGACAGACCCCTGCATGGAGAAAAGAAGGTGGGTAAAACTTGGGCGAATTAAGAATAGGTCCCCAGATCTTCGATCCGTTGGTGTTCTCGGGGCACTCTGGACCACCTCCTCGAATGCTCTCCTCTCCTGTCCCTTTAAGTCTGGAACACCATCTCAGAATATCAATTCCTGTCTTCACACTTCACCTCGAAACTTATCTCTTCCATAAAACCTTCCTCACAATTTCCTAGAACTGTCATTACCTCTTCGTAGGGGACCCCTAACAGGGCCGCCTACTATGGGCTGATAGCCTATTCAATATTGATGCGCACGTGGGGTTGCCACGGCAGCCACTGCCACCATGATCTGAGGAAGTGCCAATCCCTTGTCTGTGACAAGGCGCACAACCAGCATCCAGCAAAATCACCGCGACAGCTTCTGCCGTCTATTTATTAATGACTTATTGGCTTGCCTGTTTTATTTATAGGCTGCCAGTCTCCTGAGAAGGGGACCGATGGTGGCTCACAGTATTAAAAGAACAGAATTTAAAATATAATAAGTTAAACATTTAAAAGGCAATTCAACTGTACACCAATTAAAACAGGATTGCATAATTAATTGGCAGTTTCATAGGGGTATTTATACAGGCAAGCTTTTGCAACCGAAGCGTCTTTAATGGTAGATGCCCTAATTTTCAATTTGACCTTTTTCTAAGCTGCACTCAAATTGTTTTAACTCAGAGGACAGGATAATATGGTAATCTGTTTAACTGCATTTAATAACAATAACAACAATAACACCAACAACAATAACAATAACTATAATAACAATAATAACAATAACACTATCTGTTTAACTGCATTTAATAACAATAATAACAATAACAACGACAACAACAATAAAACTTATTTAAATTGTTCTCTACACGCAATAACACCAACAACAACAAAAACAACAACAACAACAATAATAAACAACTTATTTAAATTGTTCTCTACACCAGAGTGCATTTCAATAAAATGAATAATATACAAACATGCAACATATTCAACCACAATCTTAATATTGTGTGTGTGAGAACCTACAGCATTATGATATCTACAGCCCTATGAGTTTAAAACTCTTATCTTTTTTTTAATCACGTTAGACTGCCAGGGGTCCCTGTCTAGGGAGACTCAATAAAAACAAAATAAAATGAAGAATACTGACCCATGTATGAAGGGTGGCTTTCAGTGGCCTGAATGATACCTGGGGGGAAAAAAAGCATAGAAAATGATGTTCTGGGGGAGTTATCTCTTTCAAGTCAACTAGAAGAAAACAGAGCCAAGAATCTGGTGGGTTATTAAAAGACTGCGATCTAGGGTTCTGTGACCTAGACCCTGTTTTGCAAGACACAAGGAAAATTGTCTGCATTGGGCAAATATACACATTAATAAGTATAAAAGGAAAAAAACCCTAAATAAACAAAAATAGTTCCCTAGTAAATAATTAGGTCAACAGACTTTAAAATACAAGGCATACTCGTCTTTGTCAGACCCCAATGTTTATAAGGAAAGAAGTGATTGGCACAATTCTTATGCCAAGCTTATGATAATATACGGGGTTGGATTGAATCTACTTTAACAACCATCTCCATCTCAATAAAATTAGTATGACAAACTAGACATACGGCAATATAAACCACATCAATTTCAGTGGGAAATAAATTCTGCAATCCGGACCCAACAGGATTTTTCCGTTCCAGTGTTGACTTTCTCCAGCGGGAAAGATACCCTGATTGTGATTGAGTCCAAATTCAATACAATCAATTTTTTTTTAAAAAAACTGGGGTCCTGCAACGGCACCCTTTTGCAATCATTTTGTTCCGAAGCATGTTGTCTCTAAGCCTGGCAGGAAGCTGGAACATCCCTCCTGCTGCCCCTTCTGAATACAGTTCAGCTTAAGGAGAGAAAAAAAAGAAACCTTAAATAAATATAGATCTCTAGTAAACAATAAAGTCAACCGATCTGGGCAGAGGTGCCAATAAATTATCTTTTGCCAGGCTGGCAGCTTCCTGGTGTCTCTGGTCACCTCCGGGACTGGCCGGGGAGACCCAAAACAGCCCAGGTGGGCAAATGCCGGGTTAGAACTAAGGCTGGGCTGTGGGATCTGTATTCGAAACACGAACATCCCCAAGCTCTTATTGAACCCCCCTACATTTCTCCCAACTTCTAGGAGGAAACAGCAGCTTTCTAAGTCGTTTCCAAGGTTTTGACAGCCGCCCACCTTGAGCTTCCCATCTTATTCTTTCACCTCGAGATGCCAAAGAGCCAGAAGGAGGGTTAGTTTCACAAAGAGGTATAAGTTTCTAAGTTTATTTTATTTTTATTTTTTTTGGGGGGGGCAAACATCTCTTACCCAAAAGGAGTCCTAAGAGGAAGGCCCGGGTGAGGTCGGGAGGCGCTGACCTTCTGGCCTTGGGGCTTCCTGGGGTCCTGGCCGTGTCCCCCTCCGGGGCCAGTAGCTGCTTGGCTTCCATCATCCCCCCCCCCCCCCCCCCCTCCTGGGGGGGGGGGAAAGGATCTGGGGCAGGTGAGTCGGGGCGATCCCCCCTTCCTTCCGAGGCGAGCGGGCTT